TCTTATGATCCTGGCAATTTAGGTTATTTTGCATGTAAGACTCAAAATAAACCGAAACTAAATTCGGCTTATTTGCCAACCCAGATCAACGACGGTTTAGTTTTGGTTTAAATAATCAAACGTTATATTGCATGCGTTGTTTATATATTAAAGGCTCCGTAACCATAAATATAATTCATAATTCATCATTCATCAACACAAAGGTAACAAGAACAAAGCATAATAGAAAATATAGCCCCGACTGATCAATCAAAGATTCGTGAGAAAATTTATACTAAAAACATATATAAAGCGACTGATCAATCAAAGATTCATGAGAGATTTACACTAAAAACATATATAAAGCAGCGATTCGCAAAATTTTTTTTTGATACATCTCCTGTGCAAAACAAAAATATTTTGCCTTAGACACCTATATGGATATAGATTCTTGTTTTTGGTCCATTTGTATATTCGTGGGATACACCTCCCCAAAGATTAGTCTTTTGGTCCATTTGTATATTTGTGGGATACACCTCCCCAAAGATTAGTCTGAACCCCTCCATAGGTGTAGGATTTACTTGCGTTATAAAAAACAAGAAAAGTCTAGCACTCTTCGAAGAAATGTAAGAAGTTGAGTTTCAATAGTGTGACAGAGAATGAAAGCATGGATCTGAAGAAGAGAGAATATGTTGTGTTGTTAACATTGTTGGAAAAGAATAAAGCATTTTCTCTCTCAATCGGAAGCCATAGCTGTCGGTTAAACTTCCTCAACTATATTAACGAGAATCTGTCTTTGACTTTGCACCAACAAAACAAATCTAGGTTTTGTAGCTTTTTTTAGAATTGCATTGTTTGCTCTCAGATTTGATAATTGCTCGGTTCTATTCTCTGTTGTTCATGTCTCGTTCGAGTTCAATGTCTAGATTCCTTATGTCTAATTGCTCTTGTTTTGTTCATAGGTACTTGTCAAAATGAATTACAATTTCCAAGAAATGGAGGTTCCTGATGATGATGGTAAGTATAATGTGTTTTTTTTTAATTTGATGTTAACATCACCAGATTTTGGAGGTGTTTTGTTGATTTGTTTGACACTAGATTCAAATTAATTCCCTTGTTGTAGACCTCAACCACATTCTCTTTGCCTCAAGATTCAGAAAGCTTACACTCGCAGAAATCGAACACATTTTCTACGCCTCAATCCACCTTCACTTCCCCATAACTGCTGGAGCTAACATCCCTGTCAACACACCCGGAGTATACAGAGTTGATACAGCTAACTTTGAAGACCTGAATAATTGGGAGCATTTTCATGGTGGTCCTTACGGTTCCAACAGGGTGACATCTTCTTTCATTAGGGTAAGTTTTACATAATTGCTCTAATATAATTGAAGCTAGGAATTGCCCTAGGTAGTAATACTGATGATGTACTAATGATTTACATAATTACATATGCTCTTAACATAATTTCAGCGCCCTGGAGGCCAAGGTGGCCACATTGAGTCGGCGGATCCGGGACTCATCACTTTACGAGGGACACTTGCCATTCTCCAGCGAGCAGACGGAATGTGGTGGTGAGGATTGCTGCTGCTGGTGAAGATCTAGAGGAAGGCGGCGGTGGAAATGGAGGTGCTGGCGATCCTGAACCGAAGACTTTTGTATTCTACTATGTTTGCTCGACTCAGGACTGGAGGTAAGAAAAACTCTGCCTCTCTGGCGAAAACTATGATGATGTTTCTTTGACTCTTTGGTTCGCATCTCTGGCGAAAACTATGATGTTGTTTCTTTTACTCTTTGATAAACTCTGTTTTATTTTAATTTTTACCTGAGTCAAAAAGTCAAATCTGTTTTAACGTTTTTGATTAGTCACAAACATATTCGATTTACATAATCTCTATAATATTAAAAGAGAAATACATTTAGGAGAATGTCCAAAATTGATTCAAATATTGCTCAAATTGTCATTGCCTTATAACTAAATTGATTCAATTGAAAAAAGTAATTTTGGATAGATGCAATAGCAATTTTAGTAATATTGAGAATAATTTCGGACAATTCTTTAACTGGATCCGATTGAAAACGTGCAGATCCTCTTGACCCGCTTCGCGACCCGCGAATTTCATTAATAGCATTTTCGTAATATTAATTAATCAGAATTGTTTAATTTTTCCTTATAACGAGAATGCATTTATTAAAAAATTTCCATAACATCAAAAAATTTCCATAACATCATAAAATTTCCACGATTTGTGCTTTCCTTAACAACATGAAATATTCCATATTCAAATTTTCAG